CTCAGACAACTTCCTTGTACTCCTTCCAGGCAGCCTGTCCTTGCTTCCGTGCTTTGTAGACTTTCTTTTTACATCTAAGAGTGTCCAGGAGCTCCTTGTTCATCCATGCAGGCCTCCTGGCATTCTCGCCTGCCTTCCTCTTTGTTGGGATGCATTGCTCCTGGACTTGGAGAAGGTGATCCTTGAATATTGACCAGCTTTCTTGGGCTCCTCTCCCCTCCAGAGCTTTATGCCACGGTACTTTACCAAGCAGATGCCTAAAGAGGTCAAAGTTTTCTCTCCTGAAGTCCAGGGTAGTGAGCTTGCTTTGTGCTCTCCTTGTTGCCCTAAGGATCCTGAATTCCACCATTTTATGGTCACTGCAGCCAAGGCTGCCCTTAAGCTTCACGTTGTCCACCAACCTGTCCTTGTTGATTAGAAGATACATGTTGGTGAGAAGATACTGTTACATGTGATATTTTTATGAAATTGGTATAGTTTTGTCTTCTAACATGGACTTGAAAAAAGTTGGTTTATGGAAAAATATTGTTTCCTGTTTATGGTCAAACATGCTATTGTGTCTCTACACAAATTACATCGTGTGAATGTTTTTACTCTAAATATCTTTAGAGGAAGTCTCTTTACTAGCTTAAAATTTACAGTGGACCTGAGGAGGCTGAAGTCTGCAAGAGAAGATGGATCAACAGGCTTAATTCCTGAAACCTTTAGGTTTTGCTCTCTGCTTGAGCTCTTAGCAGACACCAAAAGCTAGCTTCTTCGCACAGATCAACATGTTATCTAGGAGACTTGTGTGGAGGGTGGCACCAGGGCTGGTGTGGGGAATTCCAGAGCCCACTCTTCTGTGTTACCAACTGATGTATGAAACTGTTGGCATGACACTTTGAAAATGTGAAGTAGCGCAGTGTACTGAACTCTTTTAAAATGCTAATTTTCTTGGAACATTGCCTCTTAGCAAATGCTGCTTCCCTCAAGGAACAGGGACAACTGCAGTAACTTCTCAGCAAATAAGCAGCTGGTGGTGTACAGTGGAGTAATTTTTAGACTCTTCTCAGGATTTACACTTGATGACCTCCTCTAGAGCTTGTATTTGTGGTAAACTCCAAAAGTTAAGCATTTTCCAGATGTGACCTCACCAGAGCAGAGTAGAGGAGGAGGATGACCTCTCGACCTACTGGACACACTCTTCCTTATGCATCCCAAGATACCCTTGGCCTTCTTGGCCACAAGGGCACAGTGCTGGCTCATTGTTAACTTATTGTCTACCAGGACTCCAAGATCCTTCTCCTCAGAGCTGCTTTCCAGCAGGTCAGCCCCTAACCTATACTGATGTATGGGGTTGTTCTGTCCTAGGTGCAGGACCTTACATTTGCTCTTGTTAAATCTCATTAGGTTCTTCTCTGCCCAGCTCCAACCTGTCCAGGTCATGCTGGATGGCAGCACAGCCCTCTGGAGTGTCACCCACTCCTCCCAGTTTGGTATCATCAGCGGACTTGCTGAAGGCACACTGTCCTGTCATCTAGGTCACTGATGAATATATTAAACGAGACCAGACCCAGCACTGACCCCTGGGGAACACCGCTGGTTACAGGCCTCCAATTTGACCCTGCTCTAGTGATCACAACCCTCTGAGCTTTGTCACTCAACTAGCTCTCAATCCACCACACTGTCCACTCATCTAGCCCACGCTTCCTGAGTTTCTTAATAAGGATGTTGTGGGAGATTGTTTTCTAGTTCAACTTGTACTACAGTCAGTTCCTGGTAAAGGCAGGCCTTTTCTTGTTAAATATGTAAGAGTTCATGAAAATATACTTTCTCATCAGACTTTATTGAATGCTTTAACTAGCACATAAAGAAATTCAATGTTCAGCTTGGTGATAGCCAGTTTGCACCAAAGCTGCTGCCCCGACATGTTGTGTGCTGAGGCATGTTCATACATTGTGGCTGCAGTAAAAGCACTTAGTTGCTTGTTTGCACATGTCCTTCTTCCCTTCTGGACAGAAACCAGGCAGTTGACTGTGACTGTTTTGACCAGTTGAGAGATTTGTTTCCAGTTACCATAGCTACTATAACCCATACTCATCAATTAACCTTGTATTAGATTGTCCTGAAGATAATATCAGTGGAACTGCAATTATCTTTTAAATATAGTCAGTAGTACTTACCTTGACAAAAGTTTTCCAGCTAGTGGACTGATAGCACTGGAATGTTTGTTATTGCGGAGATTCCAAGGTCCTGTCTTTGCCCTGCAGTCTCTCCCCCCTTAGGAGGCTAGACTAGACAGACAACAAAATTGACTGAAGTATTCCATTCCATATATCTACATAAGCTCAAAGGAAGGTCAGAGATCCCAGAAGACAACTTCCTTCCTTCTTCTTCTTCCCTTCTCTTCCATCCATGGCCGGAATCCGGGGAGGACTCTGTCCATCCATCACTATCGACTCCCAGGCTTGTGCATCCCTGACCCTCATAACTCTCCCTTCAGTTCCCGTCTGCTCTGCCACTCTCTCTCTCTGCTCACAGCTAAGGAGAGGGCTGTGGGAGTTGCTGGGGAATTTCAGCAGAGTAACAGATAGAAAAGTCAACATGTTAAATAACTAGGAAAAGCTGTGAGATTTAGATGTCATCTTGAAGTACATATCTAGACAGATCCCAATCAGCGGACAAAAATGGTTTTTATCTACTGCATTTCCCCCTTTACTGTAAAGACTGTGATATATCCAATAATAGTGTATTAAAGCTGCTTTCTCAGGAGTATGTATAGAGTTTGTGGTAAAGGCAATATATTATCTGGATATTGAATCAGTACACTGCCTTACCTCATACTCTTTTTTTCTTTCTTTCAGATTTTCTATTTTATACATACATTGTTTTGTATATACTGTATATGATGACTTCGGCGGGCAGTGAACGTATTCGGGGCACTCGGGACAAAATGCATATTTCAACCACACAGCCAACACAACCACAGAAACAAGTACTACAGGTATGTGCTACTATATAATCTTCTTTGAGTTGAAAGTGAGCATATAATCTTATTAATTTCTTCCTTGAGTGTCAAGGTTTAATGATAGGCTGGCAATGAAACAAATGACAGGTGCTCTCTCAGAAAGGGAAAGGAAAGAGAATAAGGGAGAGAGGCTTAGGGGTTGGAAACCAAACTACACAGCTTTAATGAAACAGTTGGGATGAAAAAAAAAAAAAGGAAATATAGACAAATATATACAAACCCACTATCATGCTCCCCCCATTAATTTTCACATCACCCCCCAAGGCTGCAGGGCAGGCCCTGCAAAAGTCCCAGGCTCAACTCCTGGAGTCAGCAGCAGACAGGAGCTGGATTCAGGAACACACGGATCAGAATCAAAGGCAGATGAACGGACAGTGCTCCCAGGACACCAGCCATAGACAAAGAGAGCTTGACCCTTGTGATCCCTCAGATTTATACCGAGTATGATGTGTATGGGATGGAATGCTTTGTTTGGTCAATTTTGGTCACTTTTCTGGTCAGGTCCTCTCCAAAGGAGGGTCACAGGTGTGACCCCTTTACTCCCTTTAGTTTCCAGAGCATAAGAAGTTTAGCAGAACCAAGCAGTGACCCTGGTTTCTATAAGCAAGAAATTTTCTGCCTACCATTCTCCAGCACTAACTATAACCATCAAGCCTAGAAGCAGACACTGACTGAGAAACATGCTGTTAATTTCAGCAAGTGCAGCTACTTAGAAGAGACTGAACTGAAAAGTGAAATAACTAGAAAGAAAATTGGTTCTGTCCTGGCTCAAACAGGGACACTGAATCAGTAAAATGCAAGAAAAGATGGGGGGGAAATCACAGTCTATTTTGGAAGAGTATGTTTGGTATCTTGCTTTAATTGGTCAGTAATCCAGCACAGCATTAAGTTGTTCCTGTATTCTTGTCTCTAAAGCAGCTTTGTGTTCTTCAGCAACATTTCCCATCAGTGAGGAATTCTATACCTATGCCTGTCTCAGGATTTCTGTCCTGTGACATCAGTGTCTTCAGATTTCAGCTCTTGAATATGCCAGCCTCATGATGCTAGAAGATTTCTGGTCAATAGAGTAATTTGGGTGTGTGGGAAAAGCTTTGTTAGATGCATGCTGTGTCCTACAGCATGATTCAGCATATCTGCAAGTCACAAAATTCTAAACTTCTTGTGCGACATGCCCTGGTTTGAGCCAGGATGAAGCCAGTTTTCTTTTTACTGATTTTTTTTGTTGTTGTTGTTGTTTTGTTTTTTTTTCCCTTCAGTGAGCTCTCTTTTAACTAGCAGCAAGTGTTCCAGCTAGTGGACTGATAGCACTGGAATGTTTGTTATTGCGGAGATTCCAAGGTCCTGTCTTTGCCCTGCAGTCTCTCCCCCCTTAGGAGGCTAGACTAGACAGACAACAAAATTGACTGAAGTATTCCATTCCATATATCTACATAAGCTCAAAGGAAGGTCAGAGATCCCAGAAGACAACTTCCTTCCTTCTTCTTCTTCCCTTCTCTTCCATCCATGGCCGGAATCCGGGGAGGACTCTGTCCATCCATCACTATCGACTCCCAGGCTTGTGCATCCCTGACCCTCATAACTCTCCCTTCAGTTCCCGTCTGCTCTGCCACTCTCTCTCTCTGCTCACAGCTAAGGAGAGGGCTGTGGGAGTTGCTGGGGAATTTCAGCAGAGTAACAGATAGAAAAGTCAACATGTTAAATAACTAGGAAAAGCTGTGAGATTTAGATGTCATCTTGAAGTACATATCTAGACAGATCCCAATCAGCGGACAAAAATGGTTTTTATCTACTGCATTTCCCCCTTTACTGTAAAGACTGTGATATATCCAATAATAGTGTATTAAAGCTGCTTTCTCAGGAGTATGTATAGAGTTTGTGGTAAAGGCAATATATTATCTGGATATTGAATCAGTACACTGCCTTACCTCATACTCTTTTTTTCTTTCTTTCAGATTTTCTATTTTATACATACATTGTTTTGTATATACTGTATATGATGACTTCGGCGGGCAGTGAACGTATTCGGGGCACTCGGGACAAAATGCATATTTCAACCACACAGCCAACACAACCACAGAAACAAGTACTACAGGTATGTGCTACTATATAATCTTCTTTGAGTTGAAAGTGAGCATATAATCTTATTAATTTCTTCCTTGAGTGTCAAGGTTTAATGATAGGCTGGCAATGAAACAAATGACAGGTGCTCTCTCAGAAAGGGAAAGGAAAGAGAATAAGGGAGAGAGGCTTAGGGGTTGGAAACCAAACTACACAGCTTTAATGAAACAGTTGGGATGAAAAAAAAAAAAAGGAAATATAGACAAATATATACAAACCCACTATCATGCTCCCCCCATTAATTTTCACATCACCCCCCAAGGCTGCAGGGCAGGCCCTGCAAAAGTCCCAGGCTCAACTCCTGGAGTCAGCAGCAGACAGGAGCTGGATTCAGGAACACACGGATCAGAATCAAAGGCAGATGAACGGACAGTGCTCCCAGGACACCAGCCATAGACAAAGAGAGCTTGACCCTTGTGATCCCTCAGATTTATACCGAGTATGATGTGTATGGGATGGAATGCTTTGTTTGGTCAATTTTGGTCACTTTTCTGGTCAGGTCCTCTCCAAAGGAGGGTCACAGGTGTGACCCCTTTACTCCCTTTAGTTTCCAGAGCATAAGAAGTTTAGCAGAACCAAGCAGTGACCCTGGTTTCTATAGGAATAAGTATAAGCAAGAGAATTTCTGCCTACCATTCTCCAGCACTAACTATAAACATCAAGCCTAGAAGCAGACACTGACTGAGAAACATGCTGTTAATTTCAGCAAGTGCAGCTACTTAGAAGAGACTGAACTGAAAAGTGAAATAACTAGAAAGAAAATTGGTTCTGTCCTGGCTCAAACAGGGACACTGAATCAGTAAAATGCAAGAAAAGATGGGGGGGAAATCACAGTCTATTTTGGAAGAGTATGTTTGGTATCTTGCTTTAATTGGTCAGTAATCCAGCACAGCATTAAGTTGTTCCTGTATTCTTGTCTCTAAAGCAGCTTTGTGTTCTTCAGCAACATTTCCCATCAGTGAGGAATTCTATACCTATGCCTGTCTCAGGATTTCTGTCCTGTGACATCAGTGTCTTCAGATTTCAGCTCTTGAATATGCCAGCCTCATGATGCTAGAAGATTTCTGGTCAATAGAGTAATTTGGGTGTGTGGGAAAAGCTTTGTTAGATGCATGCTGTGTCCTACAGCATGATTCAGCATATCTGCAAGTCACAAAATTCTAAACTTCTTGTGCAGTGTCTTCACAAAGTGAAATGATGATGGTCATCCACCAGCAGACTGAAATTATTATAAGTATCTGTGAGACTGAAATTAAGCTCTTACCCTGGTGTCTTGATTCTGGCAGCAGAGTAGTTAAGTTGTGGGCTTGTCTGGGTTACTGAGATTGCAAAATGTCTCTGCTCCTGGCAATTCATTACTCTCTTGACAGATAACTTCTCAAAATTTGGTTCAATTCAAGAATTGCCTCAGTTCTCTGCTGGAAGAGAGCACATCAATCTATAGGTGTTCCCCTGGGAAATTTGGTCTTACTGTTTTCTAGACTGATCTTTAATGTGGAGGGGTTCTTGTTTTGTTTTGTGCAGTTATTAATTATGTGAGTTCAAACCTTTATCATCTTTTTGCATTACAGCATTTTGCACAGTGGTGATTCGTGCTAATGTGTGGTCTTAGAAAGCAAATTTCAACCAATGGAGTTTAATTTGTTTTAGCTTTTGTTATGGTTTAGGCCCAGCTGGCAACTATGCACCATGTGGCTGCTTGCTCACCCCTCCCTTCACTGTGGGATGGGGAGGAGAAAATCCAATTACAAGCTTGTGGGTCGAGACAAGGATGAGGGTTCACTCAAAAGTTATGGTCATGGGCAAAACAGACTCAACTTGGGGGGAAAAAAACAATTAATTTAACTTGTCACCAATCAAATCACAGCAAGACAGTGAGAAACAAAACCAGATCTTATGAACACCTTCCCCCCCTTCCCTTCTTCCTGGGCCCAAATTACTTTGCTCCCAGTTTCTCTACCTTCTTTCCCCCAGCAGCACAGGGGGACGGGGAATGGGGTTACAGTCAGTTCATCACACCTTGTTTCTGCTGCTCCTGCTTCCTCAGGGGGGAGAACTCCTCACATTCTTCCCCATATCTAGTGTGGGGTGCCTCCCATGGGAGCAAGTCCTTCATGAACTCATCTGACGTGAGTCTCTTCCACAAGGTACAGTCCCTTAGGAGCTGTTCCAGAGCAGGTTGCCCACAGTCATGGGCTGCTTCAGGAACAGTCACCTCCCCTGGTGTGGGGTCCTCCACAGGCTGCAGGTCCACATCTCCTCCACCGTGCTCCTCCATGGGCTGCAGGGGGACAGCCTGCTGTCTCATAGAATCATTAAGGCTGGAAAAGACCTCTAAGATCATCAAGTCCAACTGTCAACCCAACAAACACCACCATGCCAACTAAACCATATCCTGAAGTGCTACGTCCACACTTTTTTTGAACAGCTCCAGGGATGGTGACTCCACCACTGCTCTGGACAGCCTGTTCCAGTGCCTGACCACTCTTTCAGTAAAGAAATGTTATCTAATATCCAGTCTGAACCCCTCTGGTGCAACTTGAGGCCATTTTCTCTCATCCTATCACCTGTTACACATGGGAGAAAAGACCAAACCCCACTGCATAAGACTTGTGCTCTTAGCAAATGTTGCTTCCCTCGAGGAACAGGGACAGCTGCAGTAACTTCTCAGCAAATAAGCAGCTGGTGGTGTACAGTGGAGTAATTTTTAGACTCTTCTCAGGATTTACACTTGATGACCTCCTCTAGAGCTTGTATTTGTGGTAAACTCCAAAAGTTAAGCATTTTGAGACTGATTAAGTCTGAACTCATGAGGCACAGAATTGTATGTGGGTATCCTATGAAAGGAGACTTCAAAAGGTGAAATTCAACCAGCTGCCAGGATGAATTCTATTTTATTATATGATTGTCTTGTCTGTGTGGTGACCTGTAACTGTGGTTCAAACATGTTGGAATTGCTTCTGTCCCAGTTAACTTTTTAGCTTTAAAATGGGCATAAAGATGTTAATTCTTTCCCCATAGCTTTTCTGTGCTTGTGTATGTTCTTTTTGAGAATCTGAAGAAAAAAATATATTGACACTAGGAGATACTTTCAAAAAAATGGTATTGCCTTTTTATACTTTATTGAATGTTTGCATTTTTCAGGCAACAGCAGAGCAGATTCGCCTTGCTCAGATGATCTACGATAAGAATGACGCAGATTTTGAAGATAAAGTGAAACAAGTATGTTTCTTATGGTAGAGTTTTTATGCCCTGCAATAAGGTGCTCCAAAGCTGGAAACTCCAAAAGTTAAGCATTTTGAGACTGATTAAGTCTGAACTCATGAGGCACAGAATTGTATGTGGGTATCCTATGAAAGGAGACTTCAAAAGGTGAAATTCAACCAGCTGCCAGGATGAATTCTATTTTATTATATGATTGTCTTGTCTGTGTGGTGACCTGTAACTGTGGTTCAAACATGTTGGAATTGCTTCTGTCCCAGTTAACTTTTTAGCTTTAAAATGGGCATAAAGATGTTAATTCTTTCCCCATAGCTTTTCTGTGCTTGTGTATGTTCTTTTTGAGAATCTGAAGAAAAAAATATATTGACACTAGGAGATACTTTCAAAAAAATGGTATTGCCTTTTTATACTTTATTGAATGTTTGCATTTTTCAGGCAACAGCAGAGCAGATTCGCCTTGCTCAGATGATCTACGATAAGAATGACGCAGATTTTGAAGATAAAGTGAAACAAGTATGTTTCTTATGGTAGAGTTTTTATGCCCTGCAATAAGGTGCTCCAAAGCTGGCTTACATTTTGGAGCTAGAGCATCTGTTTCTGATTTAGATGAAACCTTTTTCAGAAGATTGTGAGTTTAACTAGGAAAAAGTGCTCTTATTGCACTGTAAAGTCTGTTTACAAGAAATTGTGTGATAATATAACTTTGGCTGTATAGTTATACCGTTGTAGTTTCCTTTGTAGACAAGCCTTTAAGCCAAAACTCATCTGTGCTGATGTCTCTTCCAGACAGTATTTCTAGTATGGTCCTGATGTTTGGCTGTTTTTCAGGAAAAGTAAAAATCTAATAATAGCTTAAAGGTGAATTGAAGTGTTATTTTAAAAAAACACACTAATCCTACCTTCCAGATCTGTGTATGTATTAAAATGATAGAATTATACTGTGAAAATCTCACACCATTTCCTTTACTATGCTGAGTTTTGGGTGTAGATGCTCGAGCTTCCATTACCAAATTCCAGCTGAGAACATTAATTTAAGTAGTACTGAGAATCCAGGTCCATGTTCTGTGGGTATCAGTGATTTTGTCCCAATGAACACATCACAGCTCACAAAGAACCTAGGAGTACACCCAGAAGGAGAGAAGAATTAGCGTGAATACATTAATGCTGCAGAGGAGCAGATTTCTTTATTTCTTTTCCATTGTAAAACCTCTTTTTAAGCATTAAGCACTTTATGTTGTTCTTATTATAAATTTGTTCTGTTGCTGTGCCAGAAGTGAATTCTTGTACTTCCTGAAGCCAAAGGACTCTCATCAATAGTGCCTGTAGCTCTGCTAGTGGGAAGGATAAGAATTAAGTTCTGTATAGGAAATCTCCAATATTTTACATTGTGCATATATATTTCTAGCTCATGTAGGTTTTTTCTTTGGGTGAAGTTGCTGAATGTCCCATGACAGACTGTGATTATTTCCATTCCACACTCCTTGGGATATGCACTGCAGGTCCAGTGAGCATAATTCAGTACTAGGTCTCCTTAAGCAGCCATTGCTTATGCCTTTTGTGTGGCCTTATGCTGAAATGGATCAAGGGAGCTGATCTGGCTGAAAAATAACCTTTTCTTCGTCTGGATGTTTTTCCAGATGGATCTGTTCTCTGCCATGGCTTACCTTATGTCTGTCCTCACATAATGGGATAAAGAGGGGGGTGTTTGGTGGGGAGGAAGAGAGGATGGTACTGGAGCTATTATGGTCTTTTACATCTTCACCCTCATATACTATCTCTGGGGCGACAGCATTTGCTGCAAGCATAAAGTTAAAGGGGGGAAAAAAAAAGTGTGAAAAGCGTGAAAGAGTGCTTTCTTGATTACCATTTAATTTACGTTTCCTGTCTCATCTGGATCCCAAGCAGATCTGTAAAATGCAGATACCTTTATTTAGGATTTTAGTTTGCTCTGATGCAGTAGCTATGTACTTTATTGGAATCTGTGGTGGTACTAACACTTATTTTCTTATGATGATGATGATATAGATATTTTAACATGTCTGACTCTTACTGCCAGCTTATGGAAGTGACGGGGAAAAACCAGGATGAGTGCATAGTGGCACTACATGATTGTAATGGGGATGTGAACAGAGCAATCAACATACTGCTGGAAGGAAGTTCAGACACGGTAAGGTTTTACTTTCATATTAAACTATTATTTCTGTTTGCACCTTTCTACTTGTAAGAAGTTATTGGGAAAGTCATATTTTGGGAGCTTTGGATTTCTATGTCTCCATTGAAATTCTTTGGAAGGAAATAGAGACCAGGGCTGCTTCTCTACTGCATGCATTCCTCAGAATAGACTGAACCTTGAAAATGTTGTGGGTGTTCAGCTGGTCTCTTGCAGTGTCCTTCATCTTTCACTAACACGCAGCAATTTTAACTCTGCAGCAGAACTTGGAGCTCTGTCAGACACAGACCTGCTTTTTGCTGCAATGTTTGTAGTTACTCTGTAGCACCTGGGCCAGCAATTAAACTAATGACAGTAATGCTCTCTATCCCCTTCCTTTCCCACCCAGATAGGGCAAAGAAAAGAGAATAAAGAGAGAGGCTTTCCAGATTGAAAACTAAACTAGACAGCTTTAATTAAATAGTAATGATAAAATATGTACAAATATATACAAGTATGTGCAGGAATGTACAAAACCCCTATTGCCTCCCCCCACCCCTAGTAACCCTCATGGCTCTCCCCTGAGCCATGGTGTCACGATCCGTGACCTATTATATCTCCTTATTGGAGTGTATTAACTTATCAGGATTTGCTGAGAGCTTCACACGTGGATATCGCCTCACACAGAGGATACAGGAACTCATGTCCTGACTTTTTTGAGTGAATAACTCGCTCAGTGCTTACTTATATTTCTAACAACAGCAAGGTTTATTGTGGGGAAAACAAAGCAATTTGGGGCAGGAGGTTCAAAAGGAGTGGTTATAACACATTAAACATATATGGGTACACCTTAGTTACACATCTTATTCAAGTGCTGGAAGGAGAGGGGAGGGGTATGCCCGAATGGCTGGATTATATTTTCCCCTATAAGCTGGGGTAGCCGGAATTGTCTCACCACGGCAGTGCAGGTAGGATGAGCTGGGTAGCAAAGAAGCTGCGGGCACTCCAAGCGCAGGTCGCCCCCCCCC